AAGAAACTTCAGCGCTGAGCCTCTGGTGGCTTCTTTTCACATTAGCTTCTAACTGACCTATCACACAACCATCCATTTTTTCTACATTGTCAGAGAGACATCATTAAGACATGAGTAAGAGCCAGTATTGAACTGAGAATAAAAGTTAGGCCTCTGAACATGGCCAGCACTTCTCTCTCAGACAGAGTCTTTGCCAATTTCCTCAAGCTCATACCTGGAACCTAAAATACCTTTTTTGTTCCTTAAGGACAGTATATCCATTTCTAATTTAATACTTTGTATGGTTCTTTCTCTGATTCGTACTCATAGCACTTCTTCATTTAGATCTTGGTTTAAAGATTATCTCCAGAGACAGCATCCCTTGGTAATGTTAAACTGAATTTCATGGCCTTAAGCTGCTTCCATATACAGTTTAAGTTTGGCTTAAAGGTCGCTATATATATAATAAATCGATACATAGCCTCATGTGTAAATAGACTTTAAGCTTCCAAGAAATACCTAAGTCTCAGCCAATCATAACAGCCACACCTCTAAGCCAATCACAGCCTGATGCTGCCAAAACATGGCCAGACAAGTGACCTCAGCCAACTGAGCTGTTTCTGAATGTCATTTCCTTTTCCTTGGCTATAAATACAGCCTACACTTGCAGTGGAGGATTTTGGGAGGGTGGATCCTTCTGAACCACGTTTAGTCCATTCTGCTGCCAATTTTATGCTTATATCTTTGCTCAAATAAACTCTGCTAAGTGTAATCTGTCTAAAGCTTTTCTTATAACATTAACCATGGAGTGTTTTTTATCTATGTTCCATTTATTATCTGTATCCCCCATCGGAACATATGCTGTGGGAGACGGGGTCTTGAATCCTCAGGGCTAGAAACAGGTGCTTCAGAAGAATTTGCTAAAGAAACAAAGCTGCAAACATCTTTGTTATAATGATACTGCATTTGTTTCAAAACAATTTGGAATTGTTTCATCTTGTGATATTTGTAGGGAAAAAAAAAGAGATAGCTTAATTATCCAAGCACATTTTCCCCTTAATGAGATATGACATTCATAACACTTTTGTTCTTCCAAATTTGCTTCATTTTATCTGAGACGCAATTTCATCGAGCTTTTCATTGTGCTTGTTTATGCAACTTGAGCTAAATCCTCTTTGCACTGGGTGTTTATTTATATGTCTGTCTTATATTTTGTGTGTTTCATTTTTCTATGCAGAAAACAAACATGTAAGCACTTAATTATCTGTTTCCATCTTCATTCAGGATTGGTATACATTGTGTTATTTCTCACACAATCACAGCATAAATGAAGGCATCTTCTGATTACAAAATCTGACATAAACTACTGAAACATTTCCTTGGTTGAAACTATTTATAAAGCAATGACTATTGTTACCCCAAATATAACATATGTTTCAACGCTGTGGATGACAATGAAAATCATTAGAAGATTTTATGGAGTTTTGGTTTTTTCCTCCCTTACTTTGGGGGGTGGGATGGTTGTATTGACTGGGACTAATAATGAGTGCCTAATTCGATTTAGTTTTGAAAACCCCACAAGCCCTTCACTATGTTCAACAAAACAACACTAAGAAAGCCTGTAAGCCACCAGAGAAAGCAGTTTTACATTTACAGAGCTTGCAGGTCAGTGAATCCAGAGAGAGACACAGCCAGGATTTTTTCTCAAAACCTTTTTACCCTTGAAGACAGGATTCAAATGTAACAGTGTAGTGCTTAATTTTGTGGTTACCTAGAAAATGAAGGATATCAATAAATCATAAGAATGCTAATTTCAACTGACCTCAAACCAGATCTGTGTAAGGATCACAAAGTTACTGACATAGTTAGTCCCAGAGACAAAAGCATTTTCAATATCCTTCCAGTTCACACGTTCTTATATAAATCAACTCCAAAACTTTTCCCTCACGAGAGTTCAGTTCATAGACCCCACAACCTCTCACTGGCCTTTGCCCATTTTGTTGATTCTGTCCTTCTCAGTCAATGTAAGTTTAGAGTCAATCATTACTCTTTCCTATGCTTCCCCAACTTTCAATCGCCTCTCTCAACCATGCATTTTCTCTTGGCAAAAGAACAACTGTAGCTCCCAAATTCGTTACCAACTACAATCTAAATTCAAATAAAGAAGCCAAACACACACATGCACAATTAAATGGGCTCAACTTTATACAGGGATCCTGACTCAAACCTTCTGTTGGAGCACCTACTTAAAAAAACCTTTCAATTTTAAAAAATCTTCATCTACCCATTGTGCCCGCTTGCGGAGTGAATCATTAGACGGCAGATCTTCCTCTCTGTCTCTCCTGCTCTCTGTATATCTACCTTTCCAGTAAACATAAAAAATCTTAAAGATTTATTTTAAAAAAATGAAAGATTAAGCAAGGTTTATTGCATGCACTTTTTATTCACCTATGCACCTATTCATCCATCCATCCATCCATGCACTTTTTATCCCATTTTTCCCTTCCCCCTTCTGCCACATATATCCAATTTGCATTATGTAGAAAATGTGTAATAAATGCAGATGGTACTTCAATAATATCTCATACTCTTGTAGTTTCAAGCTTTTCTGGTAGTACCAGGTTTTGTAAAGCCACTGATTCTGCATTAATAACCACTGGCTGCTTCAAACTTCTGTCTGGTATTCACCCACACTGGTCCCTGAACTAATTCCCACTCAGCCATCATTTTCCTCTCATAGATAGATACCATTTCCCTGGATTAAAAGACAAGCTTTTGATTTCCTCATATCCTGTCTTCCTAACCATCTTAATTCTTCTCCCCAACTTACTTTCTTCCAAGCCTTCTGTATTTCACATAGTAATAGTAACATCTTTCCCCTAGTTATCCTGGCCAGCAATTATGGAACCACCTCTGATTCCTCCTTTTATGATCCTATCTATGTATTCCAACCCAACAGGAAAGCATTATCCTCAAACTTTGACTATTTTGCATTTTCCCTTTGCCATTTCGAACAAGGCCACCATCATTTCACTCTAGAGTAGTGTAACAGCCTTCTCAGCCTTTTCTCATCAGGGAAGCTCCAGTCATTTTGTTAGAAATTAAAAAGTTAAATCACTTCATTGTACCATTTAGTAATCATCCCTGACTTCTACCTCTCAGTGAAAGCAAGGACAGCAGTGGTCTAGAAGGCTTTACATGAATCTGATGATCTCTGCACCACTCTGGGCACACCTTACAACGAAGCCTCAACTCCCATCCTATTTCAATGAGCCCTTGACTATTCCGAGGTCTCCCTAGGCACATCCATCATCTTTTCTTAGCCATACAATCTCCCATTCCTTTATTAACACTCCAGTTACAGAAATCAATACTCCCAACTCCACCTACTATCTTCTGTATTTATGTATAGAATATAGCATACGCCATTAAAAATTATTTACTCTGTTTTCTATCTAGTCGCTCTTTGATTCCCACCTAAATACCGAACTCCATTAAGCTGTGGATTTTTGTTTTCATGGCTGCATGCCAAGAGTATGACAGAGTACCGGAACTCTGCAGGCTTTCAAAAAAAATACTAATGTGAAAGATTAAGCTATAGATATATATATATAAAGTCCAGATTCTAAGAAGGGAATAAGGTAAATTTATCTGAAAATAAGACTTCAGCAGGGAGCATTCCTAAAGCAGCCTCTTCCCCAAGGCTGTTTATTTGCATCTTATTTCACTTTCACTTATCCCATTAAGCCTCCTCCTGGAATACTTTTAAAAAGTCTCTATTTGATCAGGTCCACTTTCTTCCTCCACCTCCCACCCCTTTCAAGTCCTTCTCTGGTAAAGAAGAAGAACTCAGGCATCTCACTGGACCTGCTCTCTGGACCTGCTGGCCCTTCCCCCAGATGATCCCATCTCCAGCAATTTTTGCATTCCAGCCTCCAATCTCAGAGTAGCTATTCTTTTGATTCCTTCCTACAACAAACTCCTATTTCTTCTACAGAGCTAAGCTTAGAATATTTCATCAGAATCTTTTCTCCCTCCCTTCTTTCCCAAACCCCACCTAGGGCTAAATTAGTTCCTCTTTCTTTTTTTTCTTAGTACCTCAAATCTTACTTATTGATTTATAATATAATTTTAATCAATCATTTTAACATCAATTGGTTAATACAAATCCACCTTTATAAGCTCAGTGAGGATAGGACTGTACCCATGTTATCCATTGTTCAATTCAGAGCTCCTGATTAGAGGGGGAACTCAGTGAAATATAGTAAATAAACAGAAAATGAATGAACCTAACCTTGTCTAAGTTGTCTCTGACTCATCATCGATGTGTCCATGCTTCCCCAGCAACAGACCAACAAGTTTTGATCTTTACAAGTTGAAACAAAACTCAAATACCTAATACCTTCAGATAAACAACTTTAGATACTAAAACTCATCAGCTATTAATTTGGTATGAAGCCCAGCAGTTTGAATGGAAGAATTCCATTCTGAGACTTCTTGGTTACTGAACAAGGCAGCACACACACACACAAACAGCCTAAAGGGCACTGTTTGTAACCTTCAAAAACTTCATGAGTACAAAGAAAAGAAATCAACAATGACTCTCCACTTCCTGGCATAAAATTATGCATATAAAGTATTTCCACGCTAATAAAATGTATTTTAATTACAACTAATTGCAGTTGTAAATGTGCTAATGTGGAGCATCAGAGCAGCAATAACTGTAAATCTATTTTATACCAATCAAAACAAGGGGCAAACATGTCACCTCCCACTCTCAGATGTTCAAGTTACATTACCTTTACTAACTAAAACAACAAAAACCTTCCTCCCTTGGAGTTAAGTTGATTTGTCCATTTCTAACAGTATACCAAATGCTGGTTGTGCTAAACCACTTTTTATTTGATGTGAAATGCATAGCTCTCATCTCAGGCTTTAAAAAATGAAAGGTCCTTCTGTTGTTTGCAGGTATAAAAGCAGCCAACACTGCTGTGAAAAGGATAAAGGTGAAGGGTAGTTACCTCCTCCAAGACGTCAGCCAGCTTACTGAGGATCTCTTCAGGAAGGCTCTGGAAGGTGGGAACGCTGGAAAACAGAACGAAGAATGATGTTCAATGCATGAGCAGCAACTTCCTTGCATGAATAAAACTGTAATAGACCTGAATGAAAATGGAGACATATCACATTATGAAGAATCCATAAAAAAATTATCAAAGCAATTGATTAAGGACTGTTTATTTTCTCACAGGGCAAACACATGCTGAATAGAAGCAAGCTTTCAGGATATACAGAAATGAGTTAAAAATCACACTTAGTAGTTATTACCATAACTTACAGTCATGGGTGCCTCAACTGCACCGGGGAAGAGCACTATTCTTGTCGATTAGGCCACTATCACCAGATTCCTTCCTCTACTGCCTCCCTTTCTAGATCACTCTCCATGCCCAAGTCCCAGCCACACATTCCATTCAGACTTGCAAGCATCTATTAGTAAAACCAGAAGTTCTGTCCTTTTGCAAAACTCTCTCCATCTTGGTCAAATTATTCCTCTACGAACTCTCACAGCTCTCACACATTAATTACCTCAACTGCTGTCAATCAGATATATAATACACAGTATCTTTCCTGCTAATATCAAAACTCCATGAAGATAAAGAACCATTTCGTTTAATCTCTAGGAGTTTCACAACTTACAAATCACATACCAAATAGTGTGTGCTGACTGACTGAAGTTACAAAAGCATAAGCAGCGAGATCAGACTAGATAGCGCACAGACTGGTGGTCCTATGATGCTGAAAGAGCTCCTTTCTTTCCAATCAGCTCTTATTTCTCCCCACAAAGCAACTAATGAAAATACTGTTGGGGGTTGAATACACAAACTAACAAACTTGTTTCATAAGTGAAATAATAATGATGACTTTTCAAAGAGAAAACAAATCTCAACATCATATGAATTTAACTTAGATGTGGAACAAAATTTCAATTTAATCATATCTCAGAGCTTCAATACAGAAAAATGCAGTGAGTTAACCAAATCTATCCTAAAAAATGAGTCAGAGACAGACTCTTAGGAAGCTCAGGAGTCTATTTCACCAGCAGGCACTGATAGGTGAACTGCCCCTTTCCACCACACGTGGAGGAGGAGAGCAGACACTATCAGCCATATTCAGGGTTCTTGAGCAATGTTCATCTACTAAGAGCACTGACACATGATATGAATCATTCAGCTGTAGTGGTGTGGAACACAAATACCCAGTTTAAGCACCATGCATTTTTATTCAATCAGTAAGAGTCCCATCCAGCCTAGTAATGAGCAGCAGAACCAGACAAACAGGTCCTCCCAATTCCAATTATACAAGACAATCTGGGACAAACAGCTTACAACCTGAGCTGTGGAAGAAAAGCAAGATCTCATCCTGGCATGAGATACTGTCCTGTGATAAGAACCACCACTTTCGGGTCTTTCCAGGAACCCAAGGTTATGGCAAAGGTCACGCATCTTATGTCCCAGAAATGCCTCAGAAGACTTAGCCTTTCTTTCACCATTTCCTATTGTCTGGACTGTCACAAAAGACTATTTGTAGATCATATGCATGTATTTCTGCTATTTGATTTGGAGAATAATTCTGGCTTGACAGAAATGGTCCAGTGACAGAATCCACAGCACACAGTTTTGATACAAGCCTGAATGTTTTGCTATTCATTTGTCATTTTGATTCCTGTTACTTAAGGCATAACATACTGATAAAATCCCAAGATTTTATGCAGAGGTTTAAGAATTCACCTAGGACCAACCATCTGTTTCACAAACTGATGGCTATGGTCTGAATCCTGTGAGATTTCACTTCCTGAAGATAGTCTATTTTAGCGGTTGCATGGTGCATATCATAAAAAGAGACAGAAAAAAAATACAGGGGAAGCTGTATTGTAAGTCATGCAGGCATGAAATTCCAGACCTTTCTTTTTCTTTTAATAAGCTATATTTTACTTTCCTCTGAGATGTTAGAATAATTAGAGTGTTTCTGATCCATTGGGTATTTGCGGAAAGTATAAAATACAACTGGATTTTTCTTATTTTATTATAATTGGCTCCCTTCTTTGGACAAGCCTATTATATTTCCCTTTTTCATTTAAAAATATATTTACATTATTGAAAAGACAGAATGACAACACACACACACACAGAATATCATCCTTCATCTACCAGACCATTCTCAGATAGCCAAAGCCACCCTGGGCTGAGCCAGGCAAGCAAAACCAGGAGCCGGGAACTGCATTCAAGTCTCCCATATGGTTAACAGGGACTCAAGTAATTAAGCCAACACCTGCTGCCTTCTGGGCGAATATTATCAGGAACTAGATTATAAGTGGAGTAGACCAGATCACCCTAGGCGCTCCAGTATAAAGAGGGCATTCCAAGCAATACGTATGATTATTTTCTATGTTATATCTTTGATTTCAATCTAAGTTGTATATATGTCAAATCAAAATATAAGATTTCATGTTCATCATAACCATGAGAAATAAATTCAGGTATTGTTTATAATATACTAAAATGAAATAAAAATGTTCAGTTTTACAATTTTTAAAGTACTTACCAACACACCATTCTTTAAGGTCTCTCTCTTTAAGAGAGAAGTCACACATCTGCTGATGTGTTCCACAGCTATGGCTGGGCAAAGCCCAAGCCAGGAACCTAGAATGTACACAGGTGTTGAGGCCCAAGTACTTGGGTCATCTTCTACGGTATATTAGCAGGGAGCTGAATCAGAGCGAAACTGCCAGGATACTAACTAACGGTCATATAGGATGCCAGTGTTCCTGATGGCAACATAACCTGCTAAAGTACATGTCATTCATCTTTAAAATTCTTGAAAGGTGTGGGACTGGAGGACTGGGAACAAGGGGAAAAGAGAGACAGTCTATCTGCTAGCTTACTCGCAATAAATGCCCTCAATAACTGGGGTGTGGTCAAGTAAAGTCAGTAGCCAGGAACTCTATCCAATTCTCTCATGTGGGTGACAGGGACCCCAGAATGTTAGTCACCATCTTTTAACTCCCAATACTAGGAAGCTGAGGCTGAAGTGCAGCTGGGACTCTAACTCAGGTTCTGCTATGGGATGTGGGTACCTCATGGTGTGCCACAATGCCTTTCCTAAACACTTCAAACATGTTATCTTTTACTACCTTGAATGCCTCAAAATATTAGCAACAATTAGTACTAATAGAAATAAAAATGATTTTTAAGAGAAATATTCTGAAAAGTTAACTGTTAGCAACTGAAGTACCTTTGAGCTTAAGAACATGGAAATCACTACAATGTAAGAACCTTAAATTCTATAAGTCACTCTAAACTGATTGTTCTAGCCATATTCAAAGATCTCTGTTAACCTATCCCTAAATAAGTTCAATTATGTAATTAATTTTTTCCTATTTACTGCTTTATTAGTAACTTGAACACCAAGAACACCACCGTAGAGGTTGTTCAGAGCACAGAAAAATATTAGTTGCATCTTCTCAAACACATTAAAAGATATAAGCTCCAATAATTCGGATATGCTAACTTCAGGTAACTAAGATTCTGAAAATTTAATGTTAAATAAATTTACAAAATGTAATTATCACAGAATAATTGTGAGGGCAAACTACCAGAGAAAATGTTTGAACAATTAGGGAAAAAATATTTTCATTAATGGAAAAATAATTTATAATCATTTGAGTGCTAATTACAAGTAATTCTTACCAATGCACGAAAATATTTTCTCTCCCTAAGGACTGCAGAATGCCTGAAGTTACAGAATGTACTTGAATATAATATACCTGAGATGATTTAAAGTCTGGTTCTTTTCCACTAGTTTTTCTAAATGAATGATACAAACACTTAGAAATCTGTAATGGCAATAATAGAAAATGAGATTTGAGTGGTTTTGATCTTCCAGAATCAACACTCTGATCAATTATTAGTATCTATTATACAAATAAGACAAATAGGATTTTCACAGGTGCTAACATCACATAATTCAACAATAGTAAAGAAAGGATGAATTGACCAAAGTGGTCAGTTACTGACATGTATACTTTTTCAGCGACAGCAGAAAATTCCTCTCACAACATGGTTTTACTGTTTCATTAATGACCTAGAAAGGAACCATTGATATTTGTAACATTTCACTTGGTGGCTTTATGTATTTCCCAATTTTTCATTGTGAAAAATGTCAAACAGAAAGGCTGATGAAACAATCGGATTACCTACATACCCAACACTTAGAATAATAAGTGTTAACACTACGAAACTCCTGCTAAACCTACTTTCAATCTATCTATTCTTCTAAGTGTTTATACAAACCTTCATTTCTAGATTAAACATTCGAGAAGAAGCTGCAGAAATCATAAAATTTTGTTACTGGTGCAATGATATATACCCTCATGTCCTTAGAAAACAGTTTAGTAAATAAGTAACTCTTACAGCATTAGCATACATAACAAAATTGCCCGCATAAAATCATCTCATGCTTACTCTGTATTCAAGTACTACTGTTGTTCAACAATGTCTTTTTCTTTCCAAAGCATGATCCTAATTCTTTTGACAGGGTCCCTTTAGTTCTAATTCCATGAAAATATTTCCACCTTGTATTTTATTTGAAGAGTTTTATTTAATTGAAGTTATTTTATTGAAGAGTCTAGGACAGTTACACAAACAGATGGTCCATATTCTTATCTAAATAATTTTATTCCTCTCAATAAACTGTTGAATCTCCTGCTATGGTCCTTGGGGACAGTTCCTGGCTCCTGGCGCCTGGCTCCTGGCTCCTGTCTTGCAGCTTTAGACTGGCTCCACTGTTACAAGCATTTTGGGGCTGACCCACTGAGTGGAAGAACGTTTTCTGTCTTAACTCTCTCTCCTTCCCTCTTCCATCATTTTGCTATTCAAATAATGGGAAAAAAAAATGGTTTTGCTCAAATAGTGCTATTAATTTTATTGAATTTCAATCCTAAGCATAAGCAGCCACTTTACTTCAGCATTTTGAAGTATGTCTGTTTTCCTAAGGAAAATCACTGAATGACTGTTGAAGCTGCAAGCTGA